GGTACCAGCCATATATAGTTGGTGAAAAAAACACTATTATTATAGTGGGAATTTAAGTCAGGGAAGAGAAGGTAGGCATTTAAAGGTACACCATAAATATAGCTCCATTGAGCCAAGTTCAGTGGCACACATCAGTAATCCCAGAGACTAAGGAGGATCTATCTGAATCTTTCTCAGCAGGAGGATCACACCTTCCAGGTCAGTTTTGGAAACTTAGTAAGATATGGTCTCAAAATAAAAATTAATGAAAGGATTATGGGTATAGCTCAGTGGTAGAGCATACCTGGATTAAAAGCCACATTGAGGGTAACAAGAACTAAATCCTATGAGGAAGTCTAGGAAACTGAGACAGAGGGACATGGGGTATGTATCGACCCCAGTTAATCTCTAGTTGAGGGTTCATGGAAGGGAGTGGACATTGCTTCTCTAGCACTTCAGACCTGAGCAAAATGACCCCTCCATCAAATAGATGCAGAAGAGGCATTTGAATTCACTCATATTTATTGCAAAGTTCAGCCCAAGGGATGAGGTCTAGTCATCAGTCTGAGTTACTTGTTTTCCTATACTTTGCTTATGTGTTAATCACATTTTATCCTATGAGAAAAATATATAAATCTCTACCCCCATCACAAAACATTTGTTCTCTATAGATTGTGACTCTAGCCTTTCCTACATTAAAGTGGTTCAAAGATACTGCTTCCCTTGATCAATCACTTTTTACTAGATAAAATAACATATGCTGGCGTTTTCACCATGTGCCATTCTGAATTATGTAGTTTACAAGAATTGTTTAATTAATTTTCATTTAATTCTCTGAAAAAAAATTAGGATTACCATTTCCAGTTTCTAACTGGGTAAACTGAGACTTGGAGATTAAATAATATTTAGAGCTGCCATTTGACCCAGCAATCTACTTTTGAGCTTTACTCATCCAGTGCTCCAGACTTATTTGCTGACTTGAGGTGATATCCTTCCCTGCCCTCATCCCTGGTGCTCTGACACTTTGTTATGTACATGTTATGCCAGGACCTCTTAGCTTTGAGGGCCTGGGTTAAGAAGTCAGCTGAGACCTGGATTGGTTTCTCCCTATATGGAATCAGATATTTTTATATCGCAACCTTTAAAATTCTATCTTTATTCTGTATGCTAGATATTTTCATTTTAATGTGCTTGATGTGGGTCTGCTGTAATTTTACACATTTGGTGTCCTGTAAGAATTTTGCATTTGATTTTTCATGTCATTCTTTAGATTGGGGAAGTTTTCTGACATTTTATTGAAAAGATTGTTCATTCCTTTGGTTTGTATCTCTGCACCTTCATCTATACTGATAAATCTTAAATTTGCTGTTTTCATGTTATCCCATAATTCTTGGAAGTTCTATTCATGGTTTCTTAACATCTTCTCTCCATGATCCACTCTATTGTCAAGATTATATATTTTGCCTTCATTGCCTGAGTTCTGTCTTCCAAGTGGTGTAATCTGTTGGTGATTATTTCTATTGAATTTTTAATTTGGTTTATTTTTTCCTTCATTTCAAGGATTTCTGTTTGGTTTTTTCCAGAATCTCTATATCTTTATTGAAGTGACTTTTTGCTACCTGTATTTACTCTTTTACATTGTCCTTCACTTTGTACAACAGTTTAACTATATATATTCTAAACTCCTTTTCTGACATTTCTTCCACTGCATTGTTGATGGGATTCTGTTAATGGAGTATCTTGGTTTACTTAGGGTGATTTGTTCCCTTGCTTTTTAAAATGTTATTTGTGTATCTGCCCATCCAACAGTGTAGACACGAGGCAATAGAGTTTCTATCCTGTGGACTTATATTGTCCCTGAATATTTCCAATAACTCACAGTTCAAGAGGAGATAAATAATAACAGCACCAATGCAAAGAATTTACACCATTAAACCAAATAGTGTATTATGACACCTACAATGTTATTTATCACAACAAACAGAAATAACATAATCAGTTATTACCTATAATAGTAACATCAAGTTTGCAAAAGAGTATACATTTTCAAATGGTTTACAGGGAGAGGACAGAAGTGATATAAGATGTGATGATTACGAGGGAGGAGGAGAGAAGACAGAAGTAAAAGATTAAAGGAAAAGTGAAAGAACAATAGAGATTGGCTATTAGCAGAAGAGAGAAACAAGGGAAATAAGTAGGAGAAAAAAACATATATATAAAGCAAAAAATTTTCGAAAATAAAAGAATACAAAACAAAACTAAAATATACAAATCAATCATACTAGTTCATAAAAAAAACTAATAACTAGCTTCAAAAATGCTAGAGATAAAAGAAAAAAATAAGAGACTGTATAAATGTCCATGTACCATTAAGTTCATAATTAAACAGTGAAAAAGAATTTAAAAAATTTAAAATATCTAAATGAAAAGTTACAAAGTTAAAGACTTCTTTCTGTTGGAGTTTAAAATATTCTTCACTTCTCTTCTCTGCAGTTTTCGGTGGAGTCTTCTGAAGTGTAATGCTCCACCTTCTGGATTGCTGGAGTGAGAGCGCTAAAATTCCATAGGCGGAGTTCCTAAAGGCAGGGTTGAGGCTTAGGAGGGCTCCAGGCTTTTCACTGAATGCTAATTGTGAGATTTTTAAATCCTCGAACCTGCAGTGCCCAGTATTTCCTTGTCAATGCTGGAGGACTTTACCCCAGGAGTCCCCTGGTTTCCACTCATATAATGGGGGAGCCAATTCTTAGTTCCCTACCTCACCTGCAGACTCCATGTTTCCCAGTGTGGTGTTCAGTCTCCAATTTCTCCCACCCCTACCCTTCCAAGTTCTCAGACAGATGCACCTCTCCCAGCCAGTCCTGTAAGCAGTCAGATTGGAGGGGGAGGTGTAGAGCCAGGTGGAATTCACCAACCAGTTGTCTCCTGTGTAAAACTCTCTCCATGTTTGATTTTCTTCTGGTCACTTAAGCACACTCTATGTTATGCAGCATGTGTTTACTGGGCCTATATTTCGGGCCAAACTCAGGTTTCCCTGGAATTGGCTTCCTTAGTTGCCAGCCCCCAAGCCACAACTGCAAAATGTCTCCTTCCTTTGTCCTCTGCAGGCCACCAGGAGAGATGGCAGCTTTTTTCCCCACACTCAGATATCATGCAGTGCATCCTTCAGGTTTGTGGGGCAATGTCCTTGGTCTCTTAACGCTCAATACCCAGACACACCTCCAGGGTACCAAAAATTCAGGTTCCTTTAATTCCCTTATCCCTCTACTATGCTCAAAGAGGGACCACTCTGGCTGGAGCTTCAAGTCCAGCTGTGGTAGCAGCTGTGTTGCTGGGGATTTTTTTCCTGATTTTATTATATTCAATCTCCTGTGTCCCTGGTCTGGTTTAGATGTCCAGTTTTAGATTCCAGTAAATTATGCTCCCCACCCTTTTTGATTCACTCACCTTGCTGAGAAGCTGCCTGTTTGCTTTCTTGGTTTTGTGCTGTGGAGCAACCAGGAATGCAACCTCTTTTAGGCTACCATCTTGGATCTCTCCTCCTTGCCACTCTTCAACCTCCAGCACACAGAACCACTGTCAATCACTTCCTTTTCTGATGTTTTATGAGAACTGTGACATCCACATTGACAGTCACAAAGAGGCACCTTTTTTTATATGGAGGTGATTTTAAAGGAAAGTGATTTGCTAACAATTGTCCGTGAATGGCAGAAACACACCTGGGGTAGAGGAGCCACTGGCCCAACATCAGGAAGTAACTGTGATTTATTCCCACTTTGGAGGTGGATGTGACAATACTTACTTTGGGAAAGAATCTCTGGTATGTCCCCACTTTCTTTCTAGTGGGAGGTTGTTCTATTTCCAGTGTAGTTTCATATTTTACCTAATGTTATTTCATTTTATCCCATGACTGCAGACTCCAGTAATAGTCAGCCTCTTATTTTGACATTGTGAACTGTCTTTTCTTTATCCTGTGTCTCCATTTCTTCACACATGATTTTCTGGGAAACTGGGAGACCAAGTAAGAGGGAGATGAACCAGATACGTTTTTAAATGACCAACCCATACATTAAGGGACACCTCTCACCCCTCATCAGCCTTCAAGGTCCCTGTCCCCTTGAACCATAATAAAATTTCTTTTCATTATCCCCATTCTAGAATTCAAAATATCAAGCAAGGAAAAGTGATTTTTTTGGTCATTACAAACATTTTTAAGTACTTAAAATCCAGTTCATTCATTTGAGAATAGAACTAGTTTTGTCATTGTTTTAGTGATGAGGGATTTTTAAAAAATTCTAACTAAATTAACCCGCTACTTTTGTTTCACATAGTCATAATCTTACTTGAATATGATCTACCTTAAAATATTTATAAGGAGGGTAAATAAATAAACTAATATTTTAATAGTATTTGAGTGCATCTTAATTGTTAAATCTACTTGGAAATCATTATAATGCCTTGATACTCTAGTTGATCCTTTCGTTAATGTGACATTTAAAGCAAAACATTTCAAAAACTTTCATTCTGTAGCTTATTTTTACCATTGAGTTCTAATGTGTCATTGTTGGTTGATTTTTATATTTATTTACATATTCTTGAACTCATACCAATCTACTCTAAAACAAATTACCAGAAACATATGGAACCATATTTAACCAGTTTGTAATTAGATATATATTTTTACATACTTTTAAAACTTTAATAAGTTGGTGTTTGTAACTGTTGTTATTTAATTCACAGCCAACATCCTTTCTTACCTAAATTAAAACCTTATTGGAGACATTTATTCAAACTGTAACTGTTTTCTCTAATGAACTACCAATTCGTTTCCCTACACAGCATGTTCTAATTTGTGCTTGTAGTGCTTTCTAGAAGCATATGGAGACCAACTGTGGTTATGTTTTGGGATCTTCTGTACAAAAACATGGTAATTGCTTTTGTTTTGCTGATTGCTCTCTAAGACAGTTTCAAACCCTTTCAACTTTCTTTGTCCATGAGTTTTTTAATTGCAAATCCCCTTCTACTTTGTCAGATGAGTTTCACATGATGTGCTTATTGGCTAGGGTTGGTGAATCTGTCCCGGGATCCTGTGATCTTTAGGAAAGATCAACCTCTTGCTCATAATTGACAAATTGTTCCCAGATATCAGACATCATCAGACTTGTTATTTCCATGGTGCCATAAACACAAAAGCAGAAGAGACATAAAAGGTAAGAGGCCTTTTGCAACATAAAAGAGAAAGCAAGATTGGCATATCCTTTGCTTATTTCGGGGGGTGGGGGTTGGGGGAGATTGTAGCAGCAAAAGATACAATAATACAAGCATCTTCCTGATTGATTAAAGTAGTGAAGTGTATTCTGTGGTTCATAAATAATGCTCTATTACTTTTCTTCAAAGACAAGTAAACCTTGACAGACTGACCTTTTCCAGGGCAGGAGTTGTTTCAGTGCCATAAATTATACTGTAAAACGAGTGGAAATGCTACTGAGAAGTGTGTGACAAAATAAGATTAAAGATTACTACACACAAAAGATTGTTGTTTTATTAATGGATTCCTGTCAATGGGATAAAAAATCCTCCATCTTCTACTGGATCGTGAGATCCCGTCAAGCTGAAAATTAGGGGAACGTTTTCTAAGAGGTAACTGAATGTGTCAAAATCAGGATATTTTGATTTTTTTCTTCCTCCTGAATTATATTGGTTTCTAAAACAAATTTAGTTATTGTCAAAGACGCTTGTACCATCCGTAGTCATTTGCTTGCGAAGACTGGCTTTGATCATGCAGTTGGCTGACTTCTGTGTTATGTATGCAGGTGTCGGGAGATTACAGGGAAACACTTTGCTGAACAGAAGCATGGAGCGCTATCTTCATCAGTGTGTTGTGCACCGCCAAGAGGAGAAAGCATATGGTAATTCTAAACCATTAATTTATCTGGTGAACACTCAATCTGACAGAGCCATCCATGTCACTCTGAAGAAAGAAAAATAATCACATAGTGACTTAAGCCGTTAAGAGTGGCACTGAATTTCTCAGTACACTTGTTTCCAATTTTATTGATTTGGAAAAAACAACTTGAAATCATAGAAAGTAAAATAAACACCATTTAACAGACAAGGAAGGACTTCAGTCTACTTGAATTAAAGTTCATGAGATCATGAGAATTCAAGGGCTCTGTGAGCAACCACATTCTGCACAAATACATATATTGTTTCTTTTAAAGCTATTATGACTGCATTTTTGTTATCGTTGTAATCATCCCCACCCATTTTTTATTAAAAATAAGACTATGCATCTAAAACATTTCTCCATGAGCTCATTGGAAATATGATTACTTTCTTAAACAAACAAACAAACCTAAGTGTAGAGACCCTGGTGGACAAATGGAATTAAAAAAAGGAAAAGTAAAAATTCTACAAAGTATAGACAAAGCATTTTGAATGATACATTTCCATGTTAAACTACACTCAAATGTCATTGCCCTTTATTGTGTGGTACTCGCAGACATACAATGGAGTAAACCAGAAATAGAAACAAAAAGTCATCCTATATAATTTCATTAAAGTTTCCAGAAGTTTCTTTGGAATTTGATCCACCATGGTTCACTTAAATAAAAACAAGTCTCCTCGTTAGATAGAGCATATGCTCAGCATGGCATGTTGCTATGAATCACTCCTTGTCACAAAGAAGAATAGATACACTGGCTCTGCACTGCTTTGCCATTCTTTATAACTAGGAGGAGGGTATCAGTGTTGCCTTCATTACAGTCAGAATAGAAATGTATGCCTTAATTCATACACACCATTTTAAAGATAGGTGTCAGGAAGCCATATGACGAAACAATGAGATTATTGTTGCACAGAGCATCCATCTACTTCTCAGTGAACCTTAAAATCTGACTAGTGCATGTGGAGTGCAATCATGAGTTGGAGAAATATTTTGCATGTGCTTTTCATTGTCCTTTTTAAAATTTTACATAGGACTTACCTGTTCTCTCCAGTACACATTCTTTTCACTTAGCTTGGGAACTGTTTGAAGACAGATCCAACTATTCACATAAAGTTGGTCTTAGTACAAAAAAAAGAATATATTAAGTAATACTATTTTATGAATCTACCCCAATTTCTCTCTTTTTAGGAAAATAAATTAAATAGGTGCTTTTGATGGGAGTTTGGAAGTTGCAGTGGATCATGTGCTGTAACCATAGCTTCCTGTTTTTTTCTAGAGTATACCATAGGCTGTGTTCTTCTTTATCCCTCAAGTTCTCTGACCAGGCAGAAGTGAACCACATTTGTTAAGAATTTTCAGAAGTCAATATAGTCTTTGAAAACATCCACAATCTAAGAACCAGAACAAGAGTGATGATTCCCAGTGCAGACATCAAGCTTCTGGGCATCCCGAACATGAGTACCTAATGACTTGTGTTGAGTGTTAACTTTTTTTTCCATAACAGCTGGTTAGCAGACCTATTTTTATGTTTTTACCATTAAAAAAAAATTCTCTGGTGATCTCTTTCCCATCAGAATATGAACAAGTTATTTATTGATCAATAATAAAAATTTACCAGGCATCTCCCCTGAATCAGTTAGTGGGCTTCAGACCCATCCCAGTTCTTCTGGTGACCTCTCCCTGAAGCTGTTCTGCTTCTATCAGTGGAAGCGAATCCCCCCTGCCTCTCCAAACATTTCATAACTAGAAAATATCGGCTTTCAGACTCAGCATTTAAATTCTCAGTTTTACGGGATTGGATCTAAATTTCTAATCTCACATAGAGAATTTTCTTAAATTACCAAACTATGCTTTTACTATGATTTCACACAGACATTAACTCATGGAGTGTCTATCTCCTACTATCTGCACTTGTGCAGCTGAATTCATCTAATTTCAGTGGAACAACATTCTAATAGTAATGCTACAGAGTGTTTCATCCTACCCTTGGAAGACATAACAACTTAAATAGAAAGACTTTGTGTCTACTTAAACATTTATATGCATTTATATGTTTATATCTCAATTTTCATCTTGGGGAAAACTAGGACAGTACCAATGTAGATACTGAGCTCACCTAAGCTGCATTCAGATTAAAAGTATTCCCCAGTATTCTAATTATAGCAATAATTAGGAAAGCAAAACAGTCAGATTTTTTTACATCTTATTAAAAGGCAAGTGAATTTCTTTAAAAAAAACACTCAAAAGAGAGATGTCATGTCTCTTTGACAAGTTAGTGTTATTACATTTGTTTCTAATATACATGTCTAAACTCAACTATATATCATACTATTAACCACTTGCTAAACTATTCTTATCCACTAATAAAGAGATAGCCAGTAGGTTGCAACATAAGCCCAATTCGTGAGCATCTCAAAGGGAGAGGACTCTAGCCTTATCTCAACATTCCCAAACAAAAACTGAATACATCATAGAAAATGCATATTTTATTAGATACAAGTAAATTACTTATAAATAAGAGATACAATTAGTAGTTGTAGAAAGTAATACTGGCAAATTCAACTGCATTGAAATTTAAAATTTGAACACCATCAAGAAAGTTAAAATAGGAGCAATAGACTTAAATATAAAAACATAAAAAGCAATATTCTTTATAAGTTAAAAAATCTCAAATAAGCCAGTGGCACAACAGAAAAGATATGAAAGCACAAGTCACTGGGTAATATAGAAAATGAATATAAAAAATTTTGATCCACTCATTATTAAGCAAGAATGTTGATAGAGGCATTTATATCCATCAAATTTTAAGTATGTAGAAGAAAATTACCCAACATGGGCTGGTTTTAAGAGAACCATTTGGCAAACTTGTTGTAATTGATGGAAGGGAATACGGTATTGGCTTTAGCTACTGTATGAAAGATGAAAGTATTCACCAAAGCTCATAAAATCTTATGGTACTCAGGCCAGGAAACTGAGCCAAAAAAAAAAAAAAAGTCAGATGATGAATCCAAGTCATAAGAATCTTATGTGGTAGAACCTGGGTTTGCAATTGGCCTTCTGACTTTTATTATTCCTGACTTCCAAACCCTTTCTTAGAATTGAATTAGAGTTGAATAAGCACTTTTAAAAATTATATCTTTATTTGTAACAGCTATGAAATATTGGGGATCTTTTTTTAGGGAAATATTCAATTTCACATGTTGCTACAACATTATAAAAATTCTAGTAGCAATAACATGATGTTAAATATTAGTTTCTTCATCTGGAACTAGAGAGTTTAGATTAAATTCCCCTTTAAAGGTAACTTATGTCTCTAAATTTTATGATTCTACTATTTGGTGGGTGTTTTTAAAGTACTTGCTGTGTGTGTGTGTGTGTGTGTGTGTGTGTGTGTGTGTGCCTACATTCTTGTTCAAACTCAATTTCAACTCATGAGACTAAAATTTAGAAATGCCACATTAAGAGTTTTTATCATATTTATTTAGTGAAATTCAGTCTGTATTTTACATTCTCAAAATGATATATTATGTATCTCTAGAATAATTCATTACTAAAAGTCATTTTTAGGAACTCATTTTATTATCATACAATGATATAATTTCATCATATCATGTTATATATGCATTATGCATTTTAAAAATAAAGATTCTGCTACCTTAAGGAATTACAAAACCCAAGATAAGTTCATCTTTACAATGAGATGCAAATATTCTCTAAGAGAAAAGACCCTCATTCAAAAAGATTTGCATAAGATTATACTTAAATATAATAGCTATTGAAATTTGGAACATAATGCAGGAAAATTCTTTGAATCTTTACATTTTTTTTACTGGAGTATGAAATGGATACTCCTAATTTCTTTTAAATTTTGACACTTTGGAATTTATCATAAGAAAATCAAGCAAGTATTGATTGACGTGTTTGGTAGGATCAAGTAATCTTTCTCTTCCCTATGCAAATGGCCTCATATTGTTGCCAGTTTTAGATAAATTCATTCCTGTTGGCTTATTCTGTGATTAATTATGGAATAGATATTAATATTTTCTTATGCCACTCATGTATTTTTTTCAGCAAGTAGTAATTTTAATACAAGGAAAGGACAGAGAAGCAGCCACAGTCACTGAACCTATTCACTCCATCTTTTAAAGGACAGGGACAGCTTTGACAAGTTGAACACATGTTGATTAAGCACAGTCTTTCTGAAAGGCCACAGAAATGTAATTCAGCCTTCTAAGGTTTGTAAATGTCTGGAATTCCTGTAGGTCAAACATAAGGAACCATCTTGAGTCTCAGCATGACGAGTTAGCCTGGACCTAGTAGGATTCGTGGGAATTTTTTCAGTTTATCCAACTGGTTGCAGAGCTGTGTATTACTTTCAAGTATAAATTTCATAATACCAATTAGTGTCAGTCTTAGGTTGCCAAGGGTTCATCTGCTAAGCAAAGCCTGAATGCAAGGTTATTTTTACTATGCTCCTCTGACAGCCTCTGTACTGGATGATCTTCCAGTTCTCTACCTCCTACTTGAATTTCCCTTTTTCACTTTGTAGATTTCATCCTGAAACCCCCCCTTTTGTTATTTCTGACAACTCTGGTTTATAACTTTCAATAATTCTGTATTTGTTTCTCAGGTATCAAATGGCAATTAACAAAGATTGTTCTTTTCCTTTATTTTCTTGATCAAATTTTAATTTTTTGATTCATAACATTCAGGTTTACGGGTTGATAAATGTTTTCATAGAGTTCATCACTAAATAGGTATGATGGCAAAATACTTACTGTGATAGTCCCCCAACATGTCTACATGTGAATCCCAAAACCTGTGAAAGTGTTACCTTAAATAGCAAAGACGATTTTGAGATATGATTAAGAATCATGAGATTGGACATTGTTCTGGAATACCCTTAAGCCTCATACAATTACAAGGCTCCTTAGAAAAGGAGAGTCAGAGTCAAACACGATG